AGGCTTTGAAACTCACAAGTCTATTTCTGATCACTTGTTCCACTCCATCCAGCCCATCTCTGTAGCAAAACACCAGCATAGTGAAGAATTCTGCGGCTATGTCTTTCATGTGACCTTGAAAGTACTCAGCAAACCTGGGGTTCTCTTCTGGCGAAATGAGGAATGTTCATAATTATTGTAACTTTCCCATTTCTCACAAGATCTACTGTACATCAACAGCTTAACCACCCACAAATTTATTTTTTCCTTTTGTGTTTTATGCGCGTTCACTAGTTAAATGCACGCCCGGTACCGTATGAAATTAAACGTAACAGTGGAATCCATCCTCAGACGGATCTCGAAAAAGAACAAAAAAAATACTGTGCGAGAAAGAGTCTGGACTTCAAGTAGTATGCAGAACGCGTTTCACACGTATGAACCTTCGTCCCACACTCGTAACAAGACGAAAAACATCCATCTCTGTTGTACACAATACTTTCAACTTCTCTGAAAAAGTTCTCTTTATACACCGAGACGCAGCGATCAGATCCTTACAAATTTCAACTCTAAAATTTCCATATAAATTCATTAATTGAATGTTTCATCAAACGGTTTGTTTACTAACCTGAATTTAAAACCAAGTCCACTGCATTTCTGAAATAATGCTCCAGGAAACTCTGCGCAGACTCCACGATATCAATATCATTATTTGTTGGAGCAACTTTCTATTTGCGTAAAAAAAAAAAGTGAGATTAGTGTTAACAACCGGCGCGGTAACAACAAATTTTTCTTGACTGTTTTTTTTTGTTTTGGACTCGTGCGACGGACTTCGCCGAAAAGGAGAGACTGCTTGTAGTCTGTGCAGTCACAGAAATAACTTTAAACGAAAGTAAATTCGGAGAACCTGAAATAGCAACACCAACAGTAGCATTCCCAAAGAAATACACGCAATATAAACACGTTTTAACTTTATAATTGAACGAACAAACATACGAGACCAAAATAGCTTGAAAGTTATACACCAACATTTCAACAGCGTACTTAAGATGTTGAACTTCACTTACAAGGGAGTCTCCAACGCCATCAACGATCTCTTTAGTCAACTCCTCCACGGCTTTCTGAGAAGGATTTGCAACAAAGTAAGCAATTAAGATCAAAGGAACCACACCTAGTCAACAGCAAATATGGCTCGGTTTAATGGGAGGGGAAGAATTCCCACCCTTTCCCAACTAGAGCAAAAAGAGAGGTGACACGGG